CCTTGAGGGGAGACATGTCCAACCCGAATTCTCCACTTACCTACACAGTAGGTTACTACTAAGACGGTTCGGTGGGTCGATGCGAATGATCCCGAATTCGGGCCACATTCCTTCAGCATGATTATCTGTGGCTTTTTGGCAGGAGTTACCACAACTACCCACACCAATGAAATCGACCCGGCCCTAGTCTACGACCCTTCATCCAGGGACCGTGATTGAGGCCGAAACACCTAGTCGGGGAACTACTCTCAAAGACATGGTAACACTGTTGATGATATGAATCCTGCATTACCTCAAGAACCCTACACTATGGGAATTATAATATGTTCCTTATTATGGGTAATGCAAGATTTATACCATCAACCGTATGACTAATAATGATACGGGACGAATGACCACAGAAGCCCCACGCAGCGGCCTCAATAATTAGAATAGAGTCTTGAGGCGCTTCATACGATAAATATCCCACGGAACCCCCAGACTAGTATTGATAATGATTTACACCCGTTTCTCCCGAAGACCTAAACACAAACAAAAAAGCACACACACACAGACAGAGAGACAGACACACAGACACACAGACACACACACACAGAGACAAGATCTGAACTTAGCTTAACTATTGTGGTCTCCAAGCTTTTAGGGCCCCCAACTCTTAGCCTGAAGCCCCGAAAGCCCGAGCGAAGCAAAAGCTGACCCTGAACCCTAAACTCCTAAACCCCTACACCCTAAATTTAAACCCTAAACTCCTAAACCCTAAACTCCTAAGCCCTAAACTCCTAAACCCTAAGCCCTAAACCCCCTAAGCCCTAAACCCTAGACCCAAAGGCTGTCCTCGACTTCCATAGCACCTCGCTCCTTGGACCATCGAGGGAGCTCAGTCGGCATCCGACTTTGGGAACGGAGATGGAGCCTGAAGCGGCCGGGTCCCTCGGATAATTACAGGGTTCCTTAAATTAAAGGGTTCTACAAGGCTACTATAAGGGTTTAAGGTGTAGTAATAGGGGCCTCAATAATTAGAATAGGATTTTGGGGTATGTTATACTACATCTACCCATAGGCCCTAAGTAGTTCCTTTGTGGGAGTACCTTATTGATTCTAAATATAGTCCACAACAAAACGAACTACTTAGGGGCCTATGGGTAGAGTCTACATAGTTTGAGGGGTTTCGAATTCGGGTTTGAGGCTTGAGGGCTTTGGGTTTGGGAGTCTCTGCACCTGATCCAGATTAGTGCGCGATCTTCTTGCGATGTTCCGCGGCTATCCTTAGGCCCCAAGAGTTCGAGGGAGTAGCATTGCAGATCATCTCATGCACACATCGGTTCAAGAAAAGCCCTTGGGTATCGTTCCCAGTTTCGAAACTCTTGCAGGGGACTCTTCAACGTACCCCGAACCCCAGACCTGTCCATGTGTGTGTGTGTGTGTGTGGGAGGGGGGAGACTTCTTTGCTTGAAGCAGGGAGCGCATGAATCAACAACTTCCTGCCGTAGCAGTGCGGAAGAAACGGCAAGACCAGCAATGCCAGCAGCGCCAGCAAGAACACCGTGGCACTTTAAAGCACGCATGCACGAGATATTGCTTGGAAAAAATGCAGGATTGCATCCCTCAAGACTATTGTCAGGCCTTGATCCTATTTCCAGTGTTATCGCAGCCCAGAGCCTCACCAGAACAATCTCTTTTGCAGGGCCCTTCAAGGCTAGACGAGGTCTTTACTATTTACTATCAGTTCAAACCCAGATGAACGAACAAATAAACAAGTGCTAGTATAAATAGAGCAGGCCCAACGCCTCAGTGGCCCCATCGGACGTAGTAGGATGGTAAAGGCAAGGCATTGGGGTCTTGGGTTTAGGCTTTGTTAGATTTGCAAGTATCCGTTGTGATAAGGGTGCCCCTTTCGTTTGCACCAGTTCTCACCCGGACCTCAGAGAAAAAAAGGATGTATTGTCAAGAGGCTTAGGGTTCAGGGATTGGTCTGGCGCGGTGTCTCCGCCCTCGGGGATGCCACGGCAGGAAAACAAGGCACACGGGCTTCTCTACGCTAGGGGCCATGTTGGGGTCCTTGTCATAAGACTGCCGTGTTTGTTTGGGGAACCAAGCCAATCAATATCTGGTCAAAGTAAGATTACCGATCTCACACGCCTACAGGGGTTCGGTCAGAAGACTTACCTACTCAGTTACCCCACCTGACCCAGGTTCTTAGCTGCTTGTGCTTCCTAGTGTGGCAAAGGCTATAACCCTCAAGGTTTGGGGGTTCAGGGGGTCAGTAACCCTAAACCCTTTTTTTTGAGCAGGGACTGGACTGCAATGCACTAAGCCCTGAATCCCTTCAACCCCAAACCGCAAAACCTCTAAACCCTAAACCCCTAGACCCTAAACCCTAAACTTGGGGCGGATGACTGCAACTAGTAGTGCTAGGGATCGGAAATCGCCTGTTCACCTGCCGGTGCAGAGCAGTCCTTCCTGCGTAGGACAACCCTGAGCCCCTTAGTTACTACGGTTTAGGGTTTAGGGTTTAGGGTGCCTTAGTTGCTGAGTGCATAAGCATAAAAAAAAGTGTACTATAAGGGATCAGATTATCCAAAAAAGCTTAAAGTGTAGGAAATCAGCTACGAAGGCCCTAAACAAACCCTGAAATGAAACGACAAACCCTCGCCAAACTCCTCAATCCAAACACTCCCAGACGCGACATTTTTCGAACCTAAACTGAATCCCTGTTGGGGCTATATTTAAAATTCCTCATTTTCAATCCTTATTGGATTCATGGGGTTTAGGGTTAGGGTTTAGGGTTATTATAACAAAAATGTTTGAAGTTGTAGTCAACAAGAACCCAGTAAATCTCAAACCTTAGACCCTAAACCCTTTTTTGAACGAGGTCTCTCTGAAGTGCCTCCAGCAAGTGAATTGCATCAATCTCTCTAGACCCTAAACCCTAAACCCTACCTATTGCAGTCGCCCGGCCTGAAGACAGCCGCCTCACTGACCGGCAAAAGCAAAGCCGGGTCGGCATGGCGCCGCCGAACCGGCCGATAGAAACGGCTCGAGGTTCAAGCTCTGGGGTTTAGGGTTTAGGGTGTAGGGTCCTGGTTTCGGGCTTTTAGGGCTTTGGGGTTTATCGTCGTCGGAAAAATCCAGAATCAGAGTAACCGTGCCTGTGTGTGTCCTCTGCAGATTGGATTCTTGTTGCGAAGGAATTTGGAATACATAGCTGGCTTAATTCGGCAAATTTAAATGATATACACAATGCAATTGGCTGGTTGTGCTGTAAGACCTTGGCCCATGTTTAACCGGGTCTTGAGTCTGAAGCTGAGGCTTTGGCTGTTCAATCGTCGGACTCTGGGGGGGGGGGGGGGG